CAGCAGAAAACTTGAAAATTAGGAGCCCTGACTTGGATCCCTACATCTGATACAATACTCCTTTGGAAGTTTCTGCAGAGGAGAACCTCTAAGGCCTCTGTTAATCCTCCTTAGCCAGTGAAAGCTAAGATTTGAGCAACATGTTTACCCTTTAACAAAATGTGCAGAGAAGTCGAGTGGCAAGTAGTTTATATTACAGCTAAACAAATATATAACTCAAAATTGTCTGGAGAAAAGACTGATGCATGTATCTTTGGATGGGTGCATTTCCAGCGCTCTTTGAATCATAATGACTGTGAGATCACAACTATTTCTTCTCAAGAAAAATAGTAGTCAAGAAAAATAATAAGAAACAGTCATTTCTTAAAAGTCTCACTGAAATGCATGTACTCCACCCACCCTACCATGTGCCCAGGAAAAGGGGTCATCTTATTTTATGTTTCTAGGATTGTAATTATATTAACTGAAGACAACTACACTAGGGAAGGATTATTTGATTTAAAAAAAGCATGATGCTGTCATGACATCATCAGAATGTTGCTCCTTTGTCTCATAAAATGATTTTTCTTCTGCGTACTGGTTATTCCCACACACCTTTTGCTGATTAATGTCCTAGGATGCATGAGGGTTATACTTTGATTTAGTTACTCAGCCAGTTCCATGAAAAGGTGGATTACTGCAGAAGCTCTGGTAATCCAGCGTGCTAAGGACTGGCAGGACCAAGGACTTCTAAAGATAAAAAAGAAAAATAAACCAAATTACTTCTTTACTACCTTGGCACTAAGAAGAAACTAGTAGAGATTCATTTTCTGGTTCTGTTGGTGACCTGTTTTAGGATCTGAAGCAAATTTGTTTATTTTAAGAATTCATTTTTCCTTTTTTTACCCTGTGGTTGTCAGGGGTTTGCACATATAGTATAACGTAACTTATCATGTGGGAATCTTCCAGCAACTTTCATTTGATTACTTTATATGAGGAAATTTACGTGAAGAAATGTATATGAAGGCATTTAATCCTGCATATAACCTTAAAAAGGCTAGGTAATAAAATAATATAAATACATGCTGAATTTTTTTTTTTTTCACTTCAAGGAAAGTAAAAACAGCAAGTGCATTTTGAAAACAAAGACATAAACCTTTAAGCACTGAAGATCTGATTAACAGCAAAGGTCTAGTGACTGATAAGAACCACCTCTATTTTGAAATAACTTCAAAGAGATTAAGTTAATCAGCAAAGCAGTTCCACAAGGTGTGAACATTGCCATTACTTATTGCTAAAAGTACAACAAAAATCATGTGTTACAGTGCTTAACTTCCTTATGTATCAGATAACGTTCATTATCAGGGTAAATCGGCATCAATTTTCCACGTGCATTTACCAATTTTGTTGCTGAAGATGATGTAGCCTGCTCAAAAATAGATAAATCTTCCCAAGGTTTTGAAATGGTCTCCCTGCTCTTGTGCAATGAGATGTACCCAAAATCCTAGAAAGATGGATGAAGTGGGATCACTCAGTGGAACTTTTGCCTTTGGTCTGCTGAATCACAAAAGGATGTTTAACACTCCGTGCCACAGTTCTTATCTGTAGCGACTCCTAAGCTGGCATTCCCAGAAAAAAAAAAAAAAGGCAGATTCTGTGTACATAGAAGGTAGGAGATGTCTTTTTATGTGTGTAAAGACATGTTTGAGTCTCCATTTGGATTGAAAATCAATTGCAGCTCATAAGTACCTCATTACTCAAGCTAAAGACTGGAGGGCCAAACAGCTCTCTCTGTTGGAGACAAATGTAACTAAAATGGTCACTGTGTGTTGAAAACAGTGGGATTTACTGTGAAGGCTTGTTGTGTTAACACTCACAGACTACTGTGGGGTTTTTTATAGAACTGGATTTTCCCAGAGCTTATTCTTTTTGCAATATTTATCTCCTCAATAATGTCCTTAGAACTCAGGATAAGGACATGTTTGTAGGTATTGTAAAGAAACTGTGGTCTCCAGTCCCTTGCTCAGAAGAATTCTGCTTTGAACACTGATCTACAATATTTTATTACCATGAAATTACTGGACCAAATCCTCAAATAAGATGCAAATTATTAAAATTTGGGTAAGTTTAGCTAATGTAAATTGGTATAGTTTTAGTAACTACAGAGGAAGAGAAGCAAGAGATCTGACCCACTATATCCCTTGACTCTATTCCTTTTGCTTGTTTTGGTTGTAAAAGTAGAGGTTTTTTGGACATACCTACGTTACTTATAATAAGCTGATGAGAAAACTGAAAATAAATCAACCTCTTACTTTATTACAGTTCTTGATTTCCTTTCTTTAGACTGTTTTCTAGTGTTGTTGGTGTTTGCTGGAGATCTGATGATGCTCCAGTTGTTATGATTAATACTTGTAAGTGTGACAGGTTAAAGCTGACAGTATTGATAGAGTACATTTATACTTTTCAAATTCTACTAAATGAACACTCATAGCAGGAGGTAGTATTTTTTGTGTTCTGGAAAAATACCAGTCAGCAGGGATTTATCATCTTTGTTGAAATAGCGTATTTAGGTTAGTTTTGATTTAATTATCCTAAAGATTTCTTCTCATTTAAAATATTTATATGAATGTGAAAGTAGAGGACAAGTTTATATTAAAACTTTCCCCCTTTTAAGCGTGTACTTTAATTCTGGAGAGAAATCAAGCATGGCATGAAAATAAAATGGAACCAGTAACACTGAGAACAAAACCCTCAAAATGGGATATCTAGTTTTTGGAAAAAAAAAAAAAAAGGCATTAATAAAATGCAAAAGTTGTCAATTGTTAGCTTTCCTGAAAACTATATATTGAATTAAACCCTGTGTTTCCTGTTTTAGAGAAGCAAGTAGTTACTGTTTAAGTCAATTAGTAAGGAAAACCCCTAGGGAATATATATTCCTACACTACTTCGTTGTTCATTAGAGAGTGAAACATAAATATAAGACTTTTCTTACTCTCTGTTAGTAAACTGTGTTTAGAAGTGCAAGGAGAACACAGAGCTGTCTGGCCTGTTAAAGTAGAAGTGGGAACTTCAAGTTGGGGGAAATAGCACTGCACTGGTCCATGCAAATGAAAGCTTAATTGTCTGAAGTCCCCTCTTTTTTTTTTTTATGTGGGTCATTTACAGTATTGCATAAAATGATGGTAATTTCTTAAATATTTAAGGCAGTAATTGTAGCTGGATAGGCCTTTAATTTCTTTCTTCACCTGTTGCTGCTGTGATTATTTCCATCAAAGTTTAGCTCTTTTTCCTATTTCTCTGGAAACCTCTTGATCTCATTGCATTAGTTGTCTCCCTCCCTCAGTTAAATTCTTCATGTATTCCTACCTGACACTAATTTGCTCCTCTGGTTCAATGTATAGTCAAGAGAGTAATTTATTCATCTTCAACAGCACCACTGAAATCACAGAAGTACTTGATGCCCTGATTTATTAAGGCACTTGAGGTCAGTGCCTTAAGCATGTGCTAAAAATGAAGCAAATGCCAGCATGACCTCCAAAGGATTAGTCACCTGCATAACAGCTTGCAGGGTCCTTAAAAAGATGAACTTGGGGAGCAGATTTGCCACTGGTGTAAGGTTAGTGCAGCTGTACTGGAAAGCTAAATGGTGCTGACAATACTTTCAGAGGAATTATAATGAGTCCACACCAAGCCTTTCCCTTTTCTTGTCCCATGCCATGCTGATACATGCCAAGAGATAAAAATCAAAAGTTGGGAATTTTTTGTTTTTCGTTGTTTTAATGGTTTCATTGTTCACATGCCACTTATTGTTCAGCAGGACTATTGGCATCTCAGTAAAGAACTGTATTCTTACAGCGTATCTTTTTTTGCCGTTTGATTTTGTGGGGTCATTTTTTTCGTGCTCTTTCGCGTTTGCTTAATAGCAGGACATCTGTGGTGTCACTGCTAATGAAAACAGCAAATGCAAATTGGATGAGACAAAACTTAGACGCCCTAGATTTGCAGGTCAAAGTGTTTTGTATTCGGAAACTATGGATAAAAAAAAAAAAAGAAAGAATTTGTGGAAATTAGGAATTAGGAAACTGTGGGAACTTTTCTCACTGTGACAAAGGACTTTTTTTTGTTTCTTCCTAAGGAATAAACTGTTGCTGTATAGAGATGTTCCTTTCTTTTTGTACTTTTTTGTTCCTTATGATAGGTGTCCCTTAAAGTCCTATGCTGACTGTGAGAGTATATCCTGTCAAGCCAGCTGGCAAAATTTTTAAAAGTTAAATATCTACCTCAGTTGCTTTATTCTACATGAATTCACAGTAGCAATATTGTGTATCTTTTTGCAATTAAAACTATAAAACCAATCCCATCATATAGAACAGATTGCAGACTTTTCTGTAGTGCTTTATGCAGATTTTTAAAACATTCTCCTTGCAAATTCTGTTGAAAAAATGTTCTGGTTTAGTGGCAGCATTATTGCATTTCAGAAATAATATCCTGTAAAATGTCTGTAACAAGGTATTTTATCTGAAAGCCCATTGTAGCTTTCTTATTATGAGTTTCAAGCTTCTGCAACAATAAGAGGGTTCTTATTCAAATGTATACTGTTGCATTCATTCCTCTAATAGCAGCATTCCATCATATCAACCTGAAAATAGACAAACAATTGCATAGAGTGCTTGTTATTCATTGTCAATATTTTTTATTTTGTTGTTAGATATCAGACTTTGGAATAGTCGTATATGGAGTATTTGCATTAAACACAGAAATAAAAAAAGTTATTTCCTCTGAGTATACATATGCTTTCTATCTGTATTTCCTGGGGATATAAAATGTTACTGGTTTAGTTACACTGGTCATTTTTATTACCTTCCTGAAGACAATGGAAATTGCACAAGGCTCCATATGAAACTGTCTCCAAGTGTAATTTAAATCTATGGTTTAGTCTGTTGTAAATAGAGAAGAATGTACTCTTAGATAATAAATCTTTTTTGTGTATATCAACAAGTTGTCTATTTTTTTCTTCCTAGATACACCTTTAGTTAAAATCATTTCTTCCAATTCATGGCCTGAAGAAGGACAAACTATAATTTTGACTTGTGAATCCAAAGGAAAACCAGTGTAAGTGATTTAACAAGTAATATGTTTTTTGTTATTTTACTTATTCTGCTGTGACTGCAATCCTCAGCTGCAGAAATCTGCTGGTTTTGTCTCATCGCGGGGTATAAAGTAATCTGTGGTATGGAAAACCCCTTGAAGCCTCTCTTCATTAAGTATGTATAGAAGATTGGTCTTTTGTCATCTATTTTAGTTTTTAGGAAGAATTCCAGCTGTGAGATACTTCTTTTTTTCCTTTTTTTTTTTTTTTTTTTTTTTTTTTTTTTTTTTTTTTTTTTTTTTTTT